CCTCCCAACTCTGCCCAAGCAACTCCTTCCGACCCATCTTCTCCTGTATGACTATACCGTGAGGCCGCCGTGTGCGCGGGCAAAAAAAAATCAGCCGCCGTGAGGCAGCGCGCCGGACTTGCGGCTGCACTCGGGGCGGGGGAAGGCGGAGTGAGGTTTTACATGGAGTCATGACTGTGAAGGGGTGATCGGCTGCGAGCGTTGGGGTAGAGGGCAAAAAATCCACCCCGAGAGTAACCACCCCGACACGCGAAACCGTTTAGAATTGCACCCAATGAAGGATCAAACAGGGCAGGGTTAGGTGTGAAAAGTCCGAGCCATAATTTAATCATTTTTGTGTGCGTCTGTGTGGTTATTGTGCTTTCTGCGTTTTTGTACGTTCCGTCCAGTGTTTTGTTTTGTTGTTTTGTGTTTTTTGTGCGTTGGTTTGTGTTGTTTTGTTTTTTTGTTAGTGTGTTTTCTGTATGTGGGAGGAATCTGCCGCGGTCGATCGCCCAGGAGGGTTCGACTGCCGCCCCTGCGCGGATCGCCCCCGCCAAAATTCCCTCAAAAGGGGGAGCTTAGGCGGGGGCTTTTCCCGTAGGCGCCCCCGCTCGCCTGGGAGGGCGCGGGGGATCCTGGATCGCCTGGGGGGGTTCCAGGACGGGCCGACTCGCCCTGGGGAGGATCGGTCCGAGCGGTGGAATCGCCCGTGGGGTCTCCGCCACTCAGTTCCTGCACGAGTCGCCCGGGGTGGTCTCGCGAGGGAACATTCGTCCCGAATAATATTTGACGATCTCAGGGCCCGGCGAGGGCCCCCAGAGGCCCGGCGATGGGCAAGAGAGAGACGCTGGAGAGGCGCACTTCTGCTGCGAGGTCTCGATCAGGTGCTTCAGGGCGTGCTCGCAGCTCACCGGGGCCCTGCTGTTCTTGCCCTTCTCCATGAGAACCTGGGCAGACGCTGCTGCCGCGCAGGAAGAAGAGGAGGGGAGGAGGAGGAGGAGGAGGAGGAGAAGAAGAAGAAGGAGCATGAGGAGGAGGAGGTGGAGGAGGAGGAGAAGGAGGAGGAGGAGGAGGAGGAAGGGATCACCGACGCTACAATTGGTTTTGGATGCTACAGTTGGTGCACCTATGTCTTGGGCCTCGCTTGTAGCGGAGGACTTTGCCTGGATGCGCTGTTACTGTGCCGAAGTCCCCGAAGTATCGCCTGATACCATCGAGGGACTCGCGGAGTGGATAAAGCTTGTCGCAGCCGACCTGAAGATATTCCACATGCATCTTCGCAGCGCCTGGAGCAACTATCAAACCCAATGCTTGGACCAGTACAGGAACGATTTCATGCACAGAAATATCAACCATGTGTTTCCTGGACTGCTGGGTGCCACGGACACCGATGGACAACAAACAGCCTTCTTCTGCTACGAGTGCGACCAGAGCTTCACAACCATTGCTGGGTATAGGGGCCATTGGACCAGGAAGCACCAACCAGTCGACGCGGCGCAGCCATTTGCAGATGGAACCGATTGTCTCTGGTGTGGGGCCAGTTTCTCTGATCGAGCAGGACTGTTGCGGCATTTGCGGAGGCCTACTGGTGCTTGTCTCACGTACCTCCTGGCGTCTGCTGCACCACTGGAAGCAGATGCTTTTGCAGAGTGGCAGAGGCATGACCAGGAGATCGCGGCGGACAAACGGAAGCAAGGACTCAGGTCAACTGCTCCGCTTCGCCCTGCGATCCCTGGTTTACGTCAGGCAGCTGTACCTGATGAGAGGCCTCTACCACCATGTGTGCAATGGGTTTCCGAGCTGCAGCCGCTGCCCATCGGCCCCCTGGGACATCAGGTGCATACATACGTCCTGCACTTGGGGTGGGGCCCCAGACTGGAGGATAACTTTGGCGATATCATGGGTAGAGACACTGGTGTTTTCAACATGACTGTATTATATATTGATTGCAACGAGCCATCACATTCTCGGAATTTGGAGGACTCAGGTTTCTTGGACAAAATGATCTCAAGGATTCAATCGGGTGTAGTGCTTGGAGTTCTTGTCACACCGCCGACTGCATCGTGGACGACTGTGCAGGGCTCGAGCAGTGCCAGGAGCTTGCCAGTTCGACCTCATGACCGCCCTTGGGGAGCAGACAGGTTGAGCAAGTATTGGGCTACGACGCTGCGCAGAGAGAATGCTGGGATCAGGGCGGGTATCCTGTTTCTGGCGACTGCTGCTGCTGCGGGCGCTGCTGCGTTGCTTCTGCACATGGCCCCTGTGGCCGATAGGGCAGCTGCCCTCTGGAGCCTGGATGCGGTGCAGGCATTGGCGGACAGGCCCGAAGCCACGACGACCACATTCGACATGGCCGACCTCGGAGGCTCGCAGAGGGAGTTCGGCCAGGTGCTGGCCGTCAACTGCCAGCAGTTCTCCGCGGCCATGCTGCCTGCTGCCTGTGTGGCCAGCCGCCGCTGGGACCTGCCTCGGCCACTCCTGGAGCTGTTGGGCGAGGCCTTGCTGGACGCGCAGCCTTCGCTTCGCTGTGGCGGTTCTCAGCCATGGCCGCAGGACAGCGAGCTCCTCGCCCTCCTCGTCCCGCCTGAGAGGTACCCTGAGGCGAACTTGGAGGAGGATGAGGAAGCTGCATGGGCCCTGGTCGAGGGCTCTCTCCTCTCGTGCGGGCCTCTGCCGCACTCTGAGGGAGCAGGCTAAGGCAGGGCAGCTTGCGGCTGCGGCCAGCTGTGGCCGTTAGCCGCCGCCGTGCGGCTCTCTGGCGAGATCGTGGGCGTGGAGGTGCAGCTGGGAGGAGGTCGCCGTCTCGGCCACGTCCATAGTGGGCGCCGGGCGGTGGGACCGCACAAGGAGATGGACGTCGAGCAGGACTTTGCACGTGTGGACTCCGCGGGGGCTCGCCCCCCCTGGGATGGGAGAGAGAGAGAGAGAGAGGAGGAGGAGGAGGAGGAGGAGGAAGAACAGGGGGGGAGGGGAAGGAGGAGGATGAGGAGGAGGAAAAGGAGATCCCTCCCGGGCCCGAGCCGGCATCGAAATCGGATCGCCGCGCCCTGCTCCAGCTGGCCTTGGCCGATGCCGGCGAATGGAGCCAGATCGACTTGAAGGGGCCCCAGGACACACAAATAAATACACACAAATAAAAAGATCCCCCATATTTTCCCATATTTGTTGGGTTTTCGTCTTCCCCCCCACTGCCCATATTTTCCCATATTTTCTGTGGGGTCGACGATTAATTGTGTCTGTGTGTTTGTTTCCCGCCTGAGAATCGGAAAAGTGGGCCCAGGCCGCGGAGCGAGTTCGCAGCGGATCGGATCGTGGGCGGCCGAGACCCTCCCCTGGGAAGGCGCCAACTATACACCAACACCGATCCTGGCCCAGGATCCCCTGGGCCCAGGATCGGTGTGTACGCCCTCCTGCCTTGGGCAAGAAGGCACATACACCGATCCTGGGCCCGGGGTGATCCTGGGCCAGGATCGGCGTTGGTGTATAGTTGGTGCCCTCCGATCCCCCACCTCCCTGGGTCCCGCTCATGTGGAAAAGGAAGGGAAGGACGCGCAAACGTCAGCTGTCGGAATTCCGCGTCGACTGCTCGCATCGGCGCTGCACCCTCCCCTGCTTTGCGCCGGTGCCCGTGCAGCCCGATCCATGACATTCGCGCGGAGGCCCGAAAGCTCATGTTTATGCAGCTGTCGCCTCTTGGTCGAGCGGGGCCCTCGGGGGTGGCGCTTTTTTTGCTCGCGGCGATGTGGGGCCCGAGCAGCCCAGTAGCAACCGCCAGGGCACGGAGACGCCAAGAAATTGAACAGGGGTGGCACGCGCATGCGGGGAGGAGGGAGGGGGAGAGGAGGCTCTTAGAAGAGCCAGACACGTCGTAAACGCAGCATGATCAGAGAACTGCGCGCAGTTCTTGGTTCGGCGTTGGTGGCACCGACCCAGGAAATCCTCGCGGAACTCTGCAAGTGTTAATCCATGTATAACCATACGTGTGTACGTATATACACATACACACAAATTACTCGTGATTTGCAGGATCGGTGGGGGAGGCGCGGGGAGGCGCGGAGAGGAGAAGACGAGATCGGGGGAAGGAGGGACACGGGCAGGAGAGAAGAATGACTGGCGAGCCTAAGGGAGGAGTATGACAGACCCGTCTCCCGAACATATGTCATCGCCCCTAAATGCTCCACTCTCCGTCTCTCCCTCCCGTCGCTCCGCTCCCTCCCTCACTCCTGTTCGTATTCGTTCGCATTCCCCCCCTCTTCCTCCTCCTCCTCCTCAAATAATTATCCTCTTCCTCTTCTGTCCTGTCTCCCCCAACTTCCCTTCTTCTCCTCCTCCGCAATCCTCTGTCCTCCCATAGCCCTCCTCAGTAATACCACCTCGCCTCTCATCACCAGTCCGTGAGCATACTCATCCTCCCTGCTCCTTCCTGCCTCCCCTGCTCCCTGCACCCTGGATTTCTCCCCCCGATCTCATTATTCGTACGCCTGTTCCTCACATTCTCTCCTATCCCCTGGGCACCATCGTCTTCCATCACTCCTCCGCCATTCCTCGGCTCGTCCTGCTGCTCCTCCTCCTCCGGTGTCCGTGTCCATCCTCCCCCCCTCTCCCTCCTTGCTCCTCCATCCACCTTCCTATCCCCCTCACCTCCCTCCTCCTCCCTCCTCCTCACCCGCATCCCTCTCCCTCTCCCCCCCCTCATCCTACTCCCTCCTCCTGGGAGCCCAAGGAGATGCCGACACAACTGCTCCACGCCGCTCTCGCGCCTTCCGACCAGCATCTCGAGGCGAGTCCGGCCGTGAAGGCGACGGAAGCCTGGCGCCACCGGCACCTCCTCCGGCCCGACCTTCCCCTCCCCTCCTATGCCAGGCCCCCGACGTCGTGATCTTTTCACAGCGTCGACCCTCAGAGGTCTGGACCCCTTTCCCAAGACGGGCTTTCCGTCCCGAGTCGTTTTTTGACGGTCCCGGGGCCCGGGGAGGGCTCCCGGAGGCCGATCATCGCAAAAGCCGCCCGCCGCGATTTTTTTTCGCAACGCGGGGCGGTCTGGGCTACCCGCTCTCCCTCTCTAGGGCGACGAGATCTATACATATCCACTGCTCCCTGGCCAGGCCTATCCTGAACCCGCCAGCGGCGTATACGCCACGCGCTCCTGGCTTGGCCAGGAGGGCGGATACACGGCTGCTGGTTTCAGGATGGGCCTGGCCAGGGAGCAGTGGATATGTATACACCCTGCGAAATGCTTAAGAAATCATGGGTTAAGAAATCCGTAGTCTCAGAACTTGAAGGAACACCAAACATTTCTGTTAAAATCTTAGGATTTACAGTGAAACATTCAGAATCATCGGAGACTCTGGCCGAAAACTTCCGTTTTCTTAAGCATCGCCTAAGGTGTAGATCTCCTCGCCCTCTCCTCTCTGGCCACGCACGCAGGAGCGACCCCCTATAGGCAGGAGCGGCCGCGGCTGCGCGGCGCTCCGGGCCCGCGGGGAGGGCGGCTCCCGGCGCGCAGGCCGGTGTCTCTGGGACGCTCCGGCTGGAGCGTCCCAGAGACACCTCCTCCTCCTCCTCCTCGTCCTCCTCCTCCTCGTCCTCCTCCTCCTCCTCCTCCTCCTCCTCCTCCTCCTCCTGTCTCCTACTTACCTTCATTATCCTCTCCTTCTGGAGACGCTCCAGCTGGAGACGCTCCAGCTGGAGACGCTCCAGCTGGGATGCCCCTCGCTAGCGAGGGGCATCCTTCCCCCAGTGGCGCCGGACCTCCCAGAGGCTCTGGAGGACGGCAGGAGCACGTGAGCGTTCTCTTGTTCGGCGTTTCGGCAGCGGGCATACGATCCCAAAATGAGGAACGAGGCCCCTTTTTTCCATAAGTTGACTTCGATTTCCGATCGAAAACATAAGGAAAACCTGAGGCAAGATGTGAAACACTTAAGGAACGCGGAGCCCCTCCCCAACG